ATTCAATTAGTCGGATTAAATTCAGGGTGTGTGTGTTTCGTGTTTTTTTTTTGTATCGAACCAATCGATCACTTTTATTGTGTTTATCCGATTTTAATTAACAACATCAAACAATCCTATTTATGGAGGGCACGCGGCGGGTTTTTTCTGCTGCTTCGAATCTCGATGGGAGGGAAATTTTCCAGCGCCGAACGAGCCGGCGGAATTTGAAAATACGGCGAAATAACGAGACAATACAGTTGCAGTCGATCGTTTTTGCGGTTGAACGCGCCCGAATAGTCAAATCCCCACGAAAGTGCGAACGCGTACGAAATCGTCGGTTGACAAATATTTTTCCCTTATATAAAGGATGCATCCAATAAGGGGAATGTATGAAAATGGAATGGATTTTTTTAAATAAAGCGCCGGAAACGGAGGAAATTGCCGCATGGGCGCGCCCCCCGAAATTGACCCAAAACCACCCTCAATTTCCCACAAATCCCAGCTGATTCAACAAGATATTTTACCACCAAAATTTTATTCGACACAAATGACAAGCGACATTTGACACAAATGACAAGTGACATTTGACACACATGACAAGTGACATTTGACGTTAGTTGGTAACTTCCGAATAAATTTGCAGTTTCTGCGATTGTCCTTAGACTGTGCCTCTGGTGGGAAAACTGGCGAGCGGGAATATACCCGGAACGGCTCCCAGACCGAAAGATAAAACATAGAAATTTCCGGAATTGGTTTGGTGCCAGGGTAATTTACTTTTTTTTTGCATTTCCACAATGGCCGTGGCCGCGTTAACTCAAGAAGGAATCCGTCGCGTCGGCGGAATTTTTTCCTTTGTTCCGCCAGTAAAGTACTCACTTGTCCTTTCCTTCTCCGTCCCCATAACAATCACGCGCCCGTTGAATTTATTATTTGTATATATTCAGAATTGCCAATTCTACGATGAATATATTACCAACTGTCCCCTTCTAACACTTCCTAAAGCATGTATAGCATGAACAAAATGTATAAGTTTGTAGTACCGTCAAATCAAGGTGTTCTCGTGTCGTTATAATCGTACGAAAATCCTCATAAACGCCAATTTCAACTCTAAAAAACGGCGGTATTTGAAAATGCACGGATTCAATTTCAGTTTCGAATCGAACATATCCCTTTGGGGGAGAGACGTGCTCCTTACCTCGCGCCCTTCCGCTGCAAAAATGATATATAATTTCCAATATAAGGTCTACGCGCGTTCGATCATCCGTTTCGGTCGTATAGATATTAGCGGGCGATAGGATAGGAGGCGGCATGCCGGCGTTATGAAGTGCGACCGGGCGGCAGATGCCTCTGACAGCGCGGGCTATACGGCTACAAATCCCCAGGAGCGTCTTCATTCGATTCTTATAGCATCGTACCTATAGTTACAATTATCCCAGGTGGAGGAATTTTCAAATAATTGTCGATTGTACAATCAAAAGTCAATCGTACTAAAGTTTTGAAGTTATAGTTTACTGTACAGGGTGGTATGATATGCAGTATAGAAGTTGGTTGTTTTATTAGATTTTTTTTTCAACTCACTTTTCTCTCTGTGCTGTTCGAGAATTTCTTATTTAAATTTCTCGAACTAATTTTAACCTTTTTTCAACTCACTTTCTCCCTACTTTTCGTAAATTCCTTATTTGAATTAATTCTGTCAATTTTTTAACTTTCTTTTCTCTCTACTTTTAGCATATTTCTCTTTCGAACTAATTTTAACCTTTTTTTAACTCATTTCACCCTACTTTTCGTAAATTCCTTATTCCTTTTTTTAACTCATTTCACCCTACTTTTCGTAAATTCCTTATTCAAATTAATTTTGTCAAAATTTTTAACTTTCTTTTCTCTCTACTTTTGGCAAATTCCTCTTTCGAACTAATTTTAACCTTTTTTCAACTCACTTTCTCTCTACTTTTTGTAAATTCCTTATTCGAATTAATTTTGTCAATTTTTTTAACTTTCTTTTCTCCTTACTATTCAGCAAATTTCTCATTCGAACTAATTTTAACCTTTTTTTAACTCACTTTCAAATTTACGTAATTTTCAATTTACGTTAATTCAAATTCCTTATTCGAATTAATTTTGCAAATTTTTTAACATTCTTTTCTCCCTACTTTTAGCAAATTCCCCTTCAAAACTAATATAAACCATAACTCACTTTTCTCCCTACTTTAATACACACATTCTCATAAATGGTATCCTAGTTGAAAATCCTATAAAAACTCCTATTTTGTACCACCTCCTAACACAAAATACCTAAATATAAAAAATAAAAATATGTTAGATATACAAGTGCAGAGGTGTCGCGAATTACTTGTCGCAGGCAACGCGAAAAAAATATTAATCTAAAACGAATTAGGAGCCTCCCCGGAGGTCCGTGCACGTACCCGGCTCGAAACCGATCACGTGCACCACCTGACGGGGGGTGTGTGTATACGTACGCGCGGCCCCCTCGCCGCCCCCCCCGGCGCCCGTCCGAAACGAAATCGAATCGATGAGACAGCGAATGGAAGATTAAAGTCAACAGATTGAGTCTTTTGGGGCCGTAGAGATCGGAAAAACGAAACGGAAATAACGATGCGTCAGAATGAGCACCGAACTGTCTAGAGCGGGCACCCGGAGATTTATTTTTCCGGCCCCCTTCCAGTAGCGGACCCGCTCAAATCGATTAAGTGTATCGCTAATTAAAGAGGAACGCGGTGTAGATGATGCGAGTTATCCGGCGATTTTTTTTATGATAAAAAAGGTAGGGAGAAAGTGGTGGGTTTTTATATAGGTACGCCGCTGTGTTTGAGGTTTGCGCTCGCCGGAGATAATTCCCCAAATGATATCGGATTCCGATAAATATGTGTACCGGTTAAAGAGAAGTGTGATGCTCCTTTCTTTCGTTGATATCGATAGCGATGTCGTGTCGTTTGTATAGAGATAAAAATCTGCTCGTCGTTTTTTACGCTCTTCTTATGTCCCGGTCGGTTTTGCGAATGCGGAAACTTTTCGGTTATTCGCTCGTCCGGGGGAAAGCGACCGGAATTCTAACTAGAAACCGGGTTTTTTTCTCGTCGGCGACGTAAAACAGAAATAAATCGAGTTGGAGGATTATCGAGCGCGGAATTTATTCGATCCGCTCTGTATATTATCCGACATCTCAATACCTTCCTGTTTGCTCGGACGAGATAAAGCGGGCGCTGAAAAGCTGCAAAGGAAAGGGAAGAAGAGCATATTTGTTAAAGGAGATTTTTTCAAATATCCCCGCCAACAGATATGTATATCGATGATTGATATTGGCCGCGTGCTGTATATCTTGAGTATAATTTTTCCAAAGGGTCGGAAGATTTATGGACTTAGGGGAGCGTTTTTTAATATAATATCGATGCGTTATATTTCGAAACACGACTCGAAAACTAATTGAATTCGACGCTAAATCTACTGTAGACAAACCAAAATTTTATCACTCTTAAAAACGCTATATAAAATTAAGTATAAATTTTCGTTTCCTGGGTGTATAAAAAATTTAATACAAAAATTTTACACTTGTCCGACACAACGTTTCATCGAATGATTAATTAACGAGCGTCTAAATTAGTTCCATCTAAAATTCGCGGCCTTTTTCTCTCTCTTGATAAATTACGGAAACGATTCCACCCTCGGTTAAGTACAATTTTTCCGGTAAATTATGCCCCGGCCCGCCGCCCGAACGAGAACTGACCGAATTTGAATTTTTCAGGAGTGCGGTTGCAGAACTAATTTGATAATTTCCACTACATCCTTTTTTTCCACTCGTCAGGATCGCCCGGAGTGCGAGCGCTCCTCTCGGAATAATGGCGGAAGTCCGGGGGATTTCGACCGGGCGCTTCGTTAATTATTTCGCGAGCACCTGAAGTTTAACATACGTCACTGACATACGATATTCCAACGAATTACTATTATCGAAATATATTTTATTAAATTATTTCAATTTTTTATCACCGAGTTTAGTTGGGAATTTATTTTAATTGTATGATTAATGATATTATCTCGGTACCTATATTTTATGATTTTGTTTTATTTCTACTTCCAATTAATTCATACTTTTCATTAATTAATAATATTAAAATGTATTAAACTTTGTATCTATAAATTCGGTTTTATTAAAAATTTGATCTCAGTTTTTCTTCTCAGTTGATATTATCTCAATGATATTATTATATTATGATATAAACTGCTTTACAAAAGTTAAGGAAGTCCGCAAATTTTGCGATTATTTTACAGAGTTACAGACTTTTTGATCACCAAATTTTTAAAGATGCGAAATTAAATGTTTTCTTTCATATCTGAGCGGATTTTTTGCCCCTACCTCTACAACTCATATTAAATTTGGCAATCACAAAAACCTGCTACTTTTAAATTATTCTCAATATTTGTGAACTTCCTTAACTTTTGTGGAGCAGTATATTATATTATAATCATTATTCTCAATGATATTATGTCGAACCTATATTTTATGATTTTTTTTGCTTCCACTTCCAATTAATTAATACTTTTCATCAATTAATATTATTTAAATGTATTAAACTTGGTATCTATAAATTTGGTTATAACAAAAATTTTGATCTCATTTTTTCTTCTATTTACTTTTCTATAATTTCCGAAACATCAATTTTCACATAAATTCCACTACTTTTCCCCATCCAAAAAAAACCACCGAACATCGAGTGCCCGAGTGATTGGTCATTCCAGCTTAATTATAACAATTTTTCGCACATTAAAACATGTCCGGGGGACAGCACGTGCGGCTTGAAGGCGGCGCGCGCCGCCTCCAGCGCGTCGCGACGGAACCGCATCTCGCCGTCGCCGATCGAGAGCGGCCAGTCCGGTGGCAGAAGCGGCGGCGATCGGTCGAGTCAGTTCCGTCGGTGTACACACATAGCGCGTGAATCGTCTATCCGAGAACGGGCCGCCGATGGTGCGGCGCGATTTTCCACCCATTTCGCCGCCGTTCAGTCATGTTTAGCTGGAACATGTTCGTTGTGTCGGCGGTGGTTGTGTTGATGGGTGTTTGCCAATGCGCCAGCGGTCGCGGCAGGGGACACCACCGAGTCGATGGTAAGATTTTCCCAATCGCTTTATTAACGGGTTGATTTTAAGCGCTCCGCGAGAATTTCAAATCGTGGTATGATTTCAAATTTTGGTGAGGAAGCTCTTTATTTAGTGTTTAAATAACGTATACATTCAGCTAAATTAATTCTATAAAACAATATCGTAATTAATTTAATTAATTTAATACACCAAGGAGATAATACAATATTATAAACTATCCATTCCCCAAAATAACATACGCATTCACAACACAAATATAATTCTACATCTAATTAAAACATAAATCGCAATCACATTATAAATTAATATCGTCCAATGCCATTACGAATTTAATAATTGTGATACAATTCGGCCTGGATTTTCCACAAGCTCTTCTGCCTGGTTTCGATGACGGTGTTCCGGAAAACGAGGAAGTAAAAAACGATCATCCAGCAGCCGATGAGGACGATGATTCCGCCGACGGGCGAGGACGAGAACACGAAAGCCAACAGGTACAAAAACGGGAAGACGAACACGAAGGAGAAATAGAACACCATGTAAATCGAGACGCCGAGGTACCAGATTTTTTTGGTCGACGGGTAAATTTCGGCCAGGATGACCCAAACGAGCGAGCCGATGCCCAGGTAGAAGAACACGGTGAATATGGCGAATAGAACTAGAGAAATATACTTGAAATGTTGCACGCTGAGCACCGTGAAGCCGAATCGTATGCACCATATCGATTGGAAGAATATCATGCCTATCACCGAAGTGATCAGGAGGTTCTTCCTCTCGCATTTCTCCACGACAAAAACGCTCAGCAATTGCGCGATTAGTATTATCAGCGAGAGAAAATTCGGTAAATAATCCGTATGTTCCTGGAAGGATTTGTATATCCAACTGCCTATTAAAACAGCTACATTCGCTGCGGAGAACCACTCCAGGAATATCAACCCCATGGCCATTTTTATCGTGTACTTCAAATCTTTGATAGTTAGATAAGTGAGTTCGTTAACATCGTCCATCATTTCTGTAATTTCTTTATCTACATTCACATCTCCTTGTCGAAACGCGCACAATTTCTTAAACGCCATATCCGGCTGATTCTGGATCAAATGATAGTAAGGACTCTCCTCGCAGAACACGAATATCGATACAGGAGTTATACACAACAACGCCACAGATATGTAGTATTTCTCATTTTCCAAATACTGATCGTAGAGGTACCTAAACAACGCCATACTGCTAGGCAATACGATATACACACCTCTCGATTCACAAGGCGATATCTCGCTCATGTACGTTATCACAACGTTCATAGTACCTAACGTAGTGAAACTGCTTATAAGCTTCAATAAAGTGGAATCGATTATAATTTTCCCCACGTAAAACAGCACGGTAACGAACGATATGATCATTAATGTGGTTCTCCTGCCGAAATTGTTGCCCAACAATGCCGAGCACAAACAACCCGCCAACGCGATGGTCGACCTTTCCAGAAGAGGTATGAAGAAATCCCACAGCAACAACTTGGCGCTCTCGCTGGTGCCGATGTTCCGGAAATTCCACCGCATTCCTCGCTCCAGTCTCGTCACGTTTACCGCAAACACGGCCTCCAGTACTTGCATCGTCCGTCCCATTTCGGTTTTCATCGTCCAGAAGTCCGGGTAACACGTTACGGCCATCAAACAAACTGCGAATAACAGTGGTAGATATTTTTTTTTGAATTTATACACAACTATTTATCACTTACGGGTTATCGTTGCTCCGTACAAATTATTCACCCACCTATTTTGTATGAACATCGCGAATTTAACGAACATAAACCGCCGATGGCGTTAATGAAATTTGACACCTAACCTAACGGAATGAAGTTGGCAAATTACGAAAATGCGCCGCAGAAAAATGTACATTTTCGCCGGGCTCGTTTCTTCCGGCACGGCCGAAATCATATTGGCCGAAATGATCCGATATCCAATATGCCATGAAAGGCCCCGGTTGTTTTTATAGCCGTGAATTTCGTTTCGGACCCGGCTAAGGGCGAAGGCCTAAGGGCTAAAGCGGATAGGGGGCGATAAGGAGCTCCGGCCCGTAAAGCGGCCGCTCGAGCGGCGCATACGAAACTTTGGCGGGCACTCAATAAGCTCTATTTCGTGTTTACACTGCAGCTTAATTTCAAATTTTGGCGGAGGAGCTAAAGGTCACTCGAGCTTTAGTGGAAGGATTTAATTAAAATTTTGGCGGAGGAGCCGATAAAATTTATCGGGATATAAATGCGATATTTTGGTGGATGATCTGGTAGATTATTTTTTTTTATTAGAGATATCGTTGTAGTGTGCGCCACTGTTTAATAAGAGTGTGTGCTCGAGACTATTGTAAGAATGTTGAGTGGATGAGGGGGAGAAAATAAGGGCTGAATGAAGGACAGTTTATTCAACAACCGTTGATAAAGTTATCGAAGGTCTAAAATATCCTGTAATTCGAGATCGAAGGTTTATTTTTAAATGAAAAAAAAAATGTCGATATCGGTTGGAAGTCGGGACCGCGAAAATTAGCCGGAAGAAGTCGGGAAAGCGAAAATATCGCGCCAGATGTTGGAAACAATCGTTTCCCGAGCCATTATGAATAAAACAGGGGAATTTAGGTGCCAAGCGTCGACACACGAAATAGAAGCAACGAGCTTGTTGCCAGAAAAATATATTACTTTTCCGGAAGTTGCTACTTTCGAGGCGAACTGGAGCGCTTTACTTTTTCTTTTTTTCCGGAGTTTTTCGACTTTTCGACGAACGCACTATTCCGAGTTTCCCTAACGGGCTTTCCAGGATGCTGGTGTTTTTTTATCGACACGTATTCCCCCATGTTATCGTCTATTATTTCGATATTAAACTTCTTTTCCCGGTCGCTTAACGATAGGCATTCCAGATGTTTATGAAAGGAAAACGTATTTTCCCTCATTATTCCAGATTTTCCTCGTCCGCTTGCGTTTCCGTTGTTGCTAATTGGCGAAATCGTAAACACGAAAACCCAAGTCAAAGGAAATAAGGAAAACTCGCCAGATAAGGTTTTTCCTCCACTAGCTCGATCCAGATTTGCTCTTGTTGTACCCATTATCATTCAAATACCCCTAACAAACAAACACTTTTTACATTGTTTACATTTTTTTCTACTCTATAGTATATAAATTACAATAGAGAGAGAACAAGTAGGTACTTGTACGTATTATAAAAACTTTTGTTTCTTATAAATAAGGTAATTTCTACTCATAATTGTGAGGGAAAAATTTTCGATCAAGCAGTTCTAATTTTAGCCCCGGAGGTATAAACCAATTAAATTCGATTAAAACACAAAAATTAAATTCGGAGTAAAATTTAGAATCCGGTTAACAATCTCGCGAATGCCGTTCGAATGAGGGTAATCCGGGAAGAGAAAGGGTTGCCGCGATACTTACAAAATTGTGTTTTCTTGTCGACCGCATTAATTTCCAACCCTTTTGATTTCGACGGCGGGAATATTAAAATCAACCCCACCGACTGATGGGGGTTGATATCAAGCAGAAAATGAAACTGTTGTTTGAACGCATTACAAAAAATACACTGTGTGATTACATCAAAGTAAAGTCTATTTAAACGACGGTAAACGTATTAAAGTAACCTCACGCGATGTTACTATAATAACAATTTAAAAATACGCTGGAATATCGACGGTGAAATTATCACATCCTCGTAAAACGAGAGTTCTTAAACTTCCCGAGCCGTTGGGAGAAGAACAGGACGCATAAACTGCGGTTTCTCGAAAGCTCCGGTTAATCTCTAGCCGCCCAGATGAAGTGATTTACGATCGGTAATTACCCTAATTCGCCTCCAAGTTTGTGATTTCCTTATTGCGTGCCGCGCAAATAGAGAGATGGCCGACTCCGACAAGAATTCTACTTATGTTACCCGACATTTTAACACCGCCAATCGCAGGAAAACATATAGCGGCAAATTCGAATTACTGCTGCAGGAATTAAATTATACATTTCCGAATTTGCCTGATCTAATACTGTGTAGCAGGTATATTGATTAGGGGATTCCCGGGCGCTATTCTTCCGAAATGTACGATCTCCTGCGGTCTACGGGACCTATACGTTACTCGAAGATTTGTTCGCAAGTTTCTCGAACAAACCCTTTTGCTCCGGATAAGAGACCGTACGGCGCATAAAGCAGTAAGTATGCGGTTTCCAGCAGCTTTCCAAATGCACTGATTTAGCAGGAGTATATGAATTTATACCCAGATAATACCTAATAATTTACCACACGTTGCATAATCTACTCGCGATATTAAAAATATATAGCAGATATAAAAGTAAATGCACAATAAATTAGTAAGGTTAAATGTAGAGTAAAAAAATATACCGTCAATTCGTACTAATTAATGACCGGGAAGCTAATCTTTAAACGGCCAATATTTGCGAGCTTTCCGTTTAATCGAAACAAAAAGCTTAAAATTTCTAATCCTTAAATTGAGAAAAGCGTCACCCCGACGGAGGATGGGGCCGATAAAAAACCGTCACGACGTCATTTGTAACTTGGAAATCGTACAATGGGATTATTGTCTTTGCGTATAAAAAACCGAACAAAACAGGAATAGGAAAAAAAAGAGAGCAAAACCGATTTGAATGGAGCCCCTTTGATGGTTTTTATTCGCCGATGGTGTTCGGTTTTTCTTCTTTGTCGCGCGTTTACTTTAATACGATCCACGACATCACAATCAGTCATCGGTAAAATAAAGTATTCCCAAATTTTGAGCATTGTTTGTTCACTTAAGAGAGTTATTTTTTAATCAGTAGTCCTATTTATGCCTCCAAGAGAGTCGATTTTCTGTTTTTAAAAATAATATATGTTACCAAGAGTAGCTTATCAACATAGGAGAGTTATTTTCTAACCCAGAGAGAGCTATTTATACTTCCTGGAGAGTCAATTGTGTGTCCATAAAAATCGTTTATGTAACCAATAGAGTCGATTATTCACTTAAGAGAGTTATTTTCTAACTAAAAGTGCTATTCATACCTTCAGGAGAGTAATTGTGTGTTTGTAAGAGTAATTTATGTAACTAATGGAGTCGATTATCCGCTTAGAAAAGAGTTATTTTCTAACCAAGAGTGCTATTTGTGCTTCTAGGAGCGTCCAATATGTGATTTTTAACCAAAAATGCAATGCAAATGAATTTTTTATGCATATAACTTAACTCTTTTTCAATTAATTCGATACCTGCACTAGGTAAATAGGTAAGTGATTAATGTGGGTGAATTTATATACGAAACATTTATGAATATATAAAAAATCTCCTTTCCGTATATACGTACGTGAATATCGAAAGTAACCAACTCGTGAAAAATCGAATCTCCATATCGGAAATTAATTTTCATATATGCCGAATCTGCGCCCCATACGCCCGAATTCAATATACACGCCGAATCGTGTATATAGACGTCTATTTTTATCGATTTCACGTGCATATTACAATTCGCGTCACGGGAAGCTCCTGTCACGACTAACCGGAGAGAGAGAGACTTTCATACATCGCAATTTTATTTCATTATTATTTGAACTAACCGCGCTATTTGTTTACATTCGCCATAAATAATGAACAAACAATACGAGGTGTTGAAAATTAATTAAAAAAAACAACCCGCTTTTACTAATAAATTCTCGTGATAAAGAACGAGACGAAAAAGAGAGTACATTTTCACGAGGTGAAAGTCTATCGATATTATGGAGAAGAAGGAGCTTGATATGGAGGGTATATCTCGCGCCGGAATCCCGCCCTGCTATTTGCCGGAATCGTCGAACGAAATCAAGTAATATATCACTCGATGTAGCGAATAAATCCCGTTCTCGACAAGTAATTATCCCGGAATGTCGCCGAAAATCTGACGGGCCACCTTAACATCGATTATTCGCCCGGCGAATAAACGCGAAATTGAAAGAAAATTTATCGCGGCGTTTCCAACGTTTTCACTATCCGGTTTGTATCTCTTGTTACACACAATACATTAAATAGCGCCCAGACAATCGGAAAACCGACCGCACCTTTTCGCGCTCTGTTTAACATTAGAATTTATTCCGATTTATATTGTTAACACTCCCCGACACTTTTCGATCCGTCTAATAAAACTCCGCTGTACACGTCATGTGGAACACGGCAAAAAAATGTTAAACAGATTATTCGCGCTCCGAGAATACGTCCGATTGCATGAAAAAACATGTTTACTCACAGGGTGCCCGGAATTCATTAAATCCGGAACTGCTAAAATCATCCTTGAAAAGCACAAGCAAGACACAAGTGAAAAGAAGAGATTCAACTGTAGAAGAATCAACTATAGAAGGTTAATAAAGGAATATAGTAGAAGTTTTCGAGTGTATAGGGTGTATAAAAATTGATTACATTTTACATTGTATTGTAATCTTTCCTCATAGAAGAATGCATAATAACCTAGAGGAAATTGTTTTCTATTCTTTCGAGGCCGGTATTTGCATCCAATTCCGGATACACGTGTATCATTTCATTTTCCGTGTACCAGCGGCTTCAAATTTGCGGAAAATTGAATTCGCGTACGGAGAAACCGGCCGGGCGTATCAGAAATATTTATGAAACTTCGAACAATACCGGATTTTTAATACGTTCGAGTTGTTTTTTATGGAAAACCGCACGCGCGAAAGGTGTTTATGGTGCTTTCAATTCGCGATGTAATCGCCGCTTTTAATAGAGCTTTAATGCGTAATTAACAGAAACGATTGTTAGCAGCATCTGGTACAAAATATCCGTTTTATGGAGCCGTTAGGCCTCTTTATTTGGCCCTTATCAATCGGCGAAAT